CGTGTGCTCTTCCGATCTCAATACTTATCAGTTTTAACTTTCCAACAAATTATTTTGATGATTCAATAAAAAATTATTTTTAGATCTGTTTTTAGCAAAATTTCTAGACCTTTCAACAAAATCGTTCTTTCCGTGTAATTGAAAAAAAAATTACCGCGGCAGATTTCTCGTATAGGTACGGAAGAAACAGTCCTCCTCCGCACGCGAGATCGCATTCTGACGCAGGAATTTAACGCGTGCAGTTTCGCGCCGGAAGCGCGGCTCGGGAGCGAGGACGGCGAGCAGCGGAGCAGCGAGAATCAAGGACGACGCGCGGGAGAGACCTTATACCAATAATAAGGACTAAGTGGCGTAGGGTTAATTGCCGAGATTCTCCCGCCCGAGCGGGATCTCGGCGACCGGTAGCGGGAGCAACACGACGTGTTGGGCAAGTGTGAGGGAAGAGGAGCTCGGGACGTGTGAGAAAGGCGAGGGAGGCGCAGCCTCCGGGGGAAGATCTGCTATCTGGAGCCCCGGAGGGTACCCGGTGCGCATGCAGGGACTGTATCGCACACCGCCTCTTCGAGACGCCCGGCGAATTCACCTCCGGTGCCTCGGGACTTCGCCACCTTTCCACTCTCTTCTTCTTCTTCTTCTTCTTCTTCCTCCATTTCTTTCACCTCTCCCTTTCTCTCCCGACTCTCCTTCTCTCCGTCACTCTGTCCTTTCTTTCTACCTCGAGGCGAGGGAGGCACGGCACCACGTGCCTACTTGAAAAATCAGCGCGGTTACCGAGGGCCCTAATTAATTTACATAGCGTTCACGGAGAGGCGAGCGGAGGGGGGGGGGGGGAGATTCCTCACGGGTTACTACTCGTGTTACTCGGATTAATGTTGCCGATCGAATGCGGAGCTGTTAATCTTGTTAACAGCTGCAACGGCTCGCCGAGGCGCGAACGGGGCTCTTTTTTAATCGGATGAGCCCGTTTCTTCGCGGAGCGGAAGTCGTTGGGCGTCGATAATGCGAAATCGCAATCGATAATGGATAAGAAAGCGTAGAAGAACGGAAACGGCCCAATGCAATTTTATTAATGTTTTTACGCAGCTTTAATCAATGTTTACGATACTTGTGTAATTAGCAAATAAGTGCGTAATATCTAAACGTAATGTTTCTTACAAATAGAAAATAAACGAAAATAGAGACAAACATAACTAAATGAAATTATTAATTGTAAGAGGCTCAAAACCTATTATTTCCTTTAACTTAATTTATAATTATAATCCTTCTTCATTACTTTCGCAAATTACAGTTATGATGCTCCATTTCTGCTTCACAAAAAAAAAAAGAAAAAATCCATAACTATATAAGCACGCATATCCTACTTGTACAATTCGAAATCTCGCGAAAATGTCGAGGACCTAAAGAAGGTGGGACCGGGATTTACAGGCGCGGAGGAAACTCCCAGATATCGGAGCAGATATCGGGTGCGACACTCCGTTGGGAATCCTCGCGGCGGAGAGATCCGGAGTCCCGACAATGAATACCTATTAAAACGGTGTGAACAATGCCATGCGGGTTAGGTCGCCACTGCGTCTTTCGCGCGCGTGCGAGTCCCGTCCTGCGGTATCGCAGCAGCAACAGCGGTCAGCATAGCGACGCAACCGGCAGCAACGGTGCAGCAACAAGAGCGCTAAGTAGAAGAGAGCCCGGGCGCGCAACCTCGCGCGCGGGCCCCGGTGATATACTGCGAGATCCGCGATATCGCGCGGAGGTAAGCCAGGCAGGCGAGCGAGCGACGCACGTATACACACAAACGGACGGGAACCAGCATCACGGAGGAGGCTGGTTCCTCCTCCGCGCTGCTCCGTTCAGTCCGGATTCGTGGCCGTGCATTACCTTGCATACGCTATTGCGCCCCCGGTATATCTGCCATCTCGCTTCCTCGCGTCTCCTCTCTCGAAACGAAGGGGATCGGCCGTTCCCGACTCGCGCGCGCGTATATACCTACTCGACCATCGACCGTCGCTGCCGCGCCGCCGGTGTGATGCCCACCTCTTCCGCTAATGGACTCTTTCCCACCCGCGTTATACCTCCTCCGTTTGCCGCTCTCTTTCGAAGGAAACGCCGTCGCGCAGTCGTGCGCGTTTAGCGCGACAGTCGTAGGTACGTCTAGTTAATTGTTCCTTATTTGCAGAATCAGGAGTTCTGACTCTTTTAGAAGAGTCCTAAAATTTTTGGATGCGAGATAATTAAAACTGTGATTGGAATTATAATTACACGGAAAGAATAATTTTGTTGAAAGACCTAAAAATTTTGCAAAAAATAGACCTGAAAATAATTTTTTATCGAATCATCAAAATAATTTGTTGGAATGTTAAAACTGATAAGTATTGCTATAAAATTTTGATATTCTAGCAATCATTTTGACTTTCGCATAAAATAATTTTGACTATTAAATAAAAATTATTTTCAGATCTGGATTCAGCAAAATTGTTCTTTCCGTGTAGAAAAACGTGAAACTGAAGATAATCTAGACCTGTTCTTCTTAGCTGCGGAACTTCTTGCATGATTCATCTTTTCTCTTTTTCTCTCTACATCGGAGAGAAAGAAAAAAGAGGAAAGATGAACCGTCCAAGAAATTCAGGTCGAAAAAAAATTCGGGCCTTTGAAGACGAGTGAACGAAAAATAGAGAAGTTTCAAGATCACAATACAATAAATGAAGGATTTAAAAGAAATATAAATCCCTCTTGAAGCGAAGGCGTTAAAGTCTCCTATAATCATTGTATCAGAGGAATTTCGCAGAATAGATAATCTTTTTTTTTTTAGCTGATACGCTGATGTTTGATGCGATTCCTCGAAGAAAGCGAGAAGTGAGAATGCGAAGGCGAATCGTATTTTTTTCGCCTATTCCTGGTAATTCCCAGCGTAAAATCAATGAGCTCGATTTCGCGATTGGCGCGCAGGAGTCACTTTGCTCGTCGCGAGATTGGAAACAAGGGACGAAAGCACGGTGGCGGATAATGGGAAAGAAGCGGATAGGGGAAAGAAGACGAGAGAGAGAGAGAGAGAGAGCGTCTACCCATTATTCCGCGGCGATTCTTCGATTGGCCCTACCTGATTGCGATTGCAGATGAGATTGCACACCCGTGGTGCAGGAAGGCGTTCTCTCGCTCAAGTTGCATAATTTCTGCATAGCATTCGAACGTATTACTCACGGGAGCGAATCGGTTCTTTTTCTCTCTTTGGGTAAAATACAACAAAAAAGTCTCTTCGCGTTTCCAAAAAAAAATAAAAAATTCTTCGTTAAATCTAAACAAGAATTGATTGTCATTCATGCGATATTTTTCCGTTAATTTATTTTTACGATTAAATAAAACAATTTTATTATATACTAATTCCTAGCATTATAACACTTCAACTTAAAACTTCAATTAACTCTTAAGTACCTTAAGTTCCTTTTTATTTCTTTTCCTGAAAATTTTTATTGTACCCGAATAAAAGATTTAATTTCGATACTTCATCTCCGTGCAAAACACGATCTTGATATTAAGCTATCAGTCAATGGATTGCGAAAGAATGATGGGCCGGTTTATGAACCGCGCGCATTGTTTCCGGATCATATTGTCTTGAAAATGTAACGAGTATCTCGCGTGCTAACGAAAGATCGTGGCTAGTTGTATTATAATGGGGCTCATAGCTACAGCTTAAGGTATTTGTTGTCCAAATTCTACGTATCTCAGTAATCACGTTACGCACAGACGGCGATAAGAAATTAATTAATTGAAGTAATCCTATTAGCAGCTTTTGAGATAGATTTAACATATGATTGTTACAGCTTGGCTAGATAATTAATGCACGCGATATGTTTCTTGAATGTAAATCGTCTAACGTATCGGAACAATATAATTCAAATTAAACTGAATGTGCGCCGTCAATTTTAAAATTGTGAGAAATATGCGCGTGCAATATTTACTGAATAAAACCTAGATACGGTACACGATAAATTGCGGTAATTATACGCGCGATGTAACTCCGATGACTTACCTTGAAAGTAGCTCTTGGTGCGGAGGTAGCTTACGCTGAGTCTGAGGATGCTCAGTCGGTCCAGCTTGCTGAGGATATTTTGCTCGAAGGGAAGTAATGACGCGAGCGTATCCAGCTCGGCGTTTAATCGCTCTCGATGCCGCTTGCTGGGATTCGACTTCGTCACCCCGTCTTTCTGTGGTGGTTTTAAGCTGCAATCAGACAAATGTATCATTACGTAATGTATGTATAAATATTATTAAATTGGAAAGAGAAATTATTCCAGAGAGAGATTCTTTGACGAATGTTATATATAGAAAATATTTTAATAGAATATAAATAAATAACAATATATTTCTTTAAATAACCTCATATTACTATTTAACGGAAGCTTCGAAGCTTATTTAGTAAAAAAGTTATTTTAAAATCGAAAGTTTTCAGTACCAATTATATACAATACTTTGATGATGTAAAAATAAAAATCGATTAAAAAATAAAACGCTCGTTTTGAAATAAAAGAACTTAAAACTGCAGAATAAAGAGAACAACTAAAAAAGATTAAGTAAAAAAGCTCAACTTTGAATTTTCCAAAGTACAATTAGCTTTTACGAGAAACGCTATATTCAACGGAGATCGCGAATAAAAATGTAGCAGAGCGACGCTCTAAGTGTCCAAAGCAGACTCGTTGCAGTCTTGCGCCTTCTAAAAATAAAGCTGTTGCAACGCGCGGCAATCAACGATCTTGCTGGTCCGTGGCGATGAGGGTTCAATAACCAGCGGGCTTTTGTTCCGAGTTCCATGACTAGGGGATTAACTTTAATAATCAATTCGCGGCGGAGAGCGCGGCGCCGCGGCGGCACGTCGACCGTTATATGCGCGCGCGGATTTACATTTTACTCTTCATTACTGGAATCAGCGTGCGCGCTTCTCGAATCTGTTAACAACAGGCGGGCCGTGTCCCGTAGAATTTCGATAATTAAAAGTTGCCGGTGTGCCCAGCCCCGGGGACTGATTGACACCCTGCCGACACGTACGCGCCACGACTCGGGCCGGATCGGAGTGTCCTTAAGCAAAGGATACGCACGCCAGGCTCGTAACTTCAAGTATTTACGCCGGCGAGTGAGCCGCTCGATCCGGCGTAAAATGCGCGAGTTATTTAGTTATAGTTGCGATAGTGGTTTAACTGACAAGTACGGCTACTACATGGTGGCCTGGTTAGTCGAAATTAGCGTAAATATTTTATAGAAGTGAATGAGTTCGTCTAATATCGCGCTTGGGGAGAAAAAATTCTTTAAATTTTTTTATGTATCTTAAAAAAGTATAAAAATTGTATATCTTTCCTTGTTTGAGACGAACAAATCATATAATAAATTTATGCAACGCAAGATATGTGAGAAGTTTTTTGTAAGCAATAAGCAATTAAATCATGACTATTAACAGATTATCTTTTATCTATATAAGAAATTTCGTTAATTAATAAAATAATTTTTTAAAAGTAAAATAGAAATGCTAAAAAATTTCCATCTTACATATTTTTCAACATTTATAAAATGTGCACATGGTAAAATGAGGAGAAGCGACGCCGCGCCGCTGACAACTTGCAAAATTAACATGTAAACCTCATTTTTAAGCAACGCGCTTAATTAAAACGTTCATTGTGAATATATAAGAAGTCATTGATACGCATCATAACAGTTAATATAACACGCAATCCCATCACAATGAAACGCTTACGAAATTAACATAGCAGTTTAGAAGGCACATGGAGACCTGGGCATATACAGAATAGCAATAATGTGTGACTTTAATACACAGATAAAAATATTGCATATTAGAATCGAAATCTTTGCTCAGCTTGTGGAAGTTAACATGTCTGAAGTTAAATAAATCGAAAATTATAATCGTAATTAAGCAACAAATGTAAGCGAATTTACGATGATTCTCTCTATATTGAAGAGTACACATTATCTTAAAGCTTACTTTCACGCTTATAAAAATGCAGGATGCTTCGTAGTTCTAAATTCCCTCGCTCGAGAACGAGCGTTTCGATTTTTATCTTCCGAAACAAATATTTCTCCCTCTTTTTTTTTAGTCGTATGACCCAATACGTCCATCGCGACTCTCGCTGCGCTTATAATGCACCGTAAGTCACGTCGTTAACGAACCTTGCGGATTCCCCGACGGCGGCCCATTGACTACCCGTGGAATTAATATGTAAAATCAAATTTTACGCATCTGGCTACGGATTGTTTGTTTAATTGAAACCGCTCGCCATGGGAAACGCGGCGGCCACGCCGCGAAACGAGTATCGGAATACTCCGGGGACCCGTCAAAAGACACCGCGTCGCCGCGCGATGGCCATTCTCGCGCAGGCCTATACTTAGGAATAATTATTATTCTTACGCGGTATATACATATATTTAACGGCCTCTCTGCGCGGCCTTTGCGCGGCCTTTACTTGCGCTGCCCCCAGGAGGAGCTCGCCAAGGCTGCGCAAGAAAAGAGACGAGATGGACACGTCGGAATGGTTCGCGGGCAGGACCAGTTCTTATCGCGGGTTATTAAGAAAATAGTGTTAATGAGATGTCACTGTGAACTCTGCCGCTCTCCTAGAGGTGCCCGGTTGACTCCCGGCTTTTGTGTCCGTGTATCTTATACCACGCTACATTCTGCTCCAGGTAAGAAGACCAGTATATAAGTAAATTCGTTATGAGAAGATTGTGCCAGATAATAACTTTCGCTGAAATTATTAGCCTCTATATTAACCTTTTGTTTATTTAAAAAAGATTCGAAAATATATAAGCTTTATATATATTTCTATATATAAAAATATATAAGCTTTATATCTATTTAAAGCATTAGATTTAATATTAATTTAATTTAATATCTAAATTTTTGCAACGATAAGTTAATTTCATAAAAATATGATAAAATTTTCTTTATATTATTTTTTATTTTGTAACATTTTCCCACATTTATTACTGTTGAATCTTAAATTAATAGAATTTTCAAAGAGTGTAATAATATCGTTAAGCTTCACTGTAAAAAAAATACATTGTGATACCGAGATATTGAAGAATAACGAGAAATGTTGATTCTTAAATTGACAATTTACCATGTGTAAGTAGTATATCATCAACGTATACGATGTTAAATTGCCTGTGATCACTCAGAAAAATTATCTTATACCCTAACAGGTCGGAAAATACCTGGAATTTTATTTTTATCACGACAGACATACTTTTCGTATCAAGATGAACTCGTAAGAAATAAGGTTTAGACTTAGTTTGTTGACAATTTTTAATTATAGCGTGAAAATGCATATTTTATCGCAATATTTACGATCGAATAAATGTTTTTAATCTAATTATAACATTATAATATATATTGGCTAATAGAGAGAAACAAAGAGAGAGAGAGAGAGAGAGAGAGAGATATATATATTCTAATTATATACTTTTGTCAAAAAATTATAAATTTTAATATTTTGTAAATTCATAACTATCGATACTCCATCATTCCTCTTATTTCATTCTCCAATATATGTGTTTGGAAAGGCAATTTCGAGGCAGCCTGTAAGTTCATTTTTAGAAGCATATGGGTCCAATGGACCCGACGGAGGGGACGTAGGGTTAATACCGGACCCACGCAGCCGTGGTGCCGCGCCTGCCCCGTCCACGGGCCCAGTAATTAGCTTTGTTTTATCGAGGTGGCGGGGGGGGGGGGCGAAGAGGGAAAGGAAAACGAACGTCCGGTTGAAACGCTAATAGCATTCGAATAGGATTATTCCTCGCGGACCACCGTCACTCCTCGTCCCCGGATAATGGATTCGGTGTCGTCTAATAATTAATAGAGTGCTTCTTGGCGCGGCCGCGTCGCGCGGTATACGGCCGACAATCCCATTCATCACGCTTTCTAACCCCTTAAGCATTTTAATTAACGATATCGCTTTTTTTCCATAGCTGCGTTTATCATTTTCAAAGATTCGCGGTTTACAAAGACAATGATATCTTCAGAACTCTTCAGATTCTTCCAAAAGCTATCATTCTGTAAATCGTCGGTTAAGGAACATTGTGAAATACACGAAAAATTGATTCTTTGTCAATAACTAAAATATAACTTTCCTCACGCGAAATTTTAATATCTATACGGAAAGAACAATTTTGCTGAATTCAAATCTGAAAATAATTTTTGTTCAATAATCAAAATAATTTTGTGCAAAAGTCAAAATAATTGCCAGAATATCAAAACAGTTTTATAGCAATGCTTATCAGTTTTAATTTGAACAAATTATTTTGATGATTCAATAAAAAAATATTTTCAGATCTGTTTTTAGCAAAATTTTTAGACCTTTCAACAAAATCGTTCTTTCCGTGTAAATACTAAAGTTGAAAATTAACGATAAAAAAAGTTACGCGGAAACAACTTAAATTTCGAATTGAACAGTAATTCAAAATTGCTATTTTTTTAACAAAAATAAATACTTAAATACTTTATCATTATGCAAACGCCAAGAAATAATCGTTTACTCTATATTTTTATAAACATAAAAAGAGATAGTAAATAAAATAAATTTATGTGCATATTTTCACGTATTATCTGCATGATAGATTTAGCTAATTAGTATTTAATCGAGCGTTCTAATTGCATCATTAACGTCGAGATTATTCAATCGAAACTAAGTGACATGAAAGTGACGCGACTCGGCCAGTCTTGCATAACGCGCCAGGCTTACTTACGCATTATAGAAGCGAAAAATCATGCGAACGTAAACTGCGTGCGGTATACGGACGGACCACGGCCGTGTGCGCGATCATAGTTACCTCGGAAATACAAACGAGGCCCCCGACGCTATGCCATTATCCGGTAGGTGCACGGTAACTGTACTTCGATGACAGATGGATAAAAAAATTATATAGATCCGAAGGAACAATGCGACGCGTCCCGCCCGAAGAGTATACACGCCGTTATGCAATCGACATTTATTCGTCGTTACCGCCAAGTTACCAGAAGTTCGTTCCCTACGCTCGGCGAGAGACCGTTCCTCGTTTTCGCTAACTTTATAATATTGAGAACGGAGTGAATGCACCCTTTCTTCGAATTTCGAGGTGTATCATTTTATTTTCATACGCGTTTGGCGCGTAAGTATACGTTTCACCTCATGCGAGCGAGGAACGGATTTGACGGAAACCTGAAGTTCAGTGTGTTTGCA